TAATATGATTTTTATAAAGATAATAATTAAGAATTCTGTTATAACTCAATTATTATCTTAATTATATTTTAAATTTTTTATATTTAAAATAAGATATTTATCCGGAATTTGATTATATTTATCTACAGTTAGTTATATGAATTCAAAAATTGAGCTTTAATAAGTTGTAGTTACGCACAATTTACTTGTAGTCTTAAATTTTAAGTAATATGTATTAATAAATAGTACTTAATGCATAAATAATGGTTTTTAATAGTTTATGTCAAATGCTTTATAATATAGTATAGACATAATATAGTAAGATTTATCTCAATTTCAATATTTCGTTTTATTAKTTATCTACGTCGATATAATACGGTTTTTAGTGGTTTTAAGAATACAATAATGTTTTTATTTTTGAATAAAATATAAATTTAAATATACCATAACAATTTGGAAAAAAGTTATACCGATATTAGTATCAAATTTACGATTTAAAGTTCTGGTTTTTCGTGTAATTTCTTTAATTCAATATTTTATTTATAATTTAATAACAAAATAATTTATTTATCATTTAATAATATAATTCTTATAAATATAATAATTAATTATTTTGTTATAAATAATGATTATCCTAATTATATTTTAGTTTTTTTATATTCAAAATAAGATGTCTATCCCGTATTGGATTGTATTTATTTATAGTTAGTTACGCAAATAAAAAAAAAAATTAATAAGTCGTACTTACGCACAATTTGTTTGTGATCTTGAATTTTAAGTAATATGTATCAATAAATAGTACTTTATGTATAAAAAATAGTTTATAAGAGTTTTTGTCAAATGTTTTATAATATAGTGCATATTAGTTGATAAAGATGAAAAAAGAATTATAAATTATGTTAAAAGGTTAGATAATTTTAACATTTTTTAGTATCATTAAAATCTATATTATATTATAAAGCATTTGACAAAAATCTTAAAAATTATTTTTTATGTATTAAGTATTGTTTATTGATGTATGTTACTTCAAATTCAGATTACAAGTAAATTGTGCCTAAATACAATTGATTAAAGCTCCACGTTTGAATTCGTGTAACTAACTACAGATAAACATAATCAAATAGAGGATAAACATCTTATCTTAAATATAAAAATATAATATATAATTATGATAATCATTGAGTTATAGTAAAAAACTTAATTATTATCTTTATAAAAAATTATATTATTAAACCAAAAATACAAAAACGATAAATTTTAAATTGTTAGTTTGATACTAATTTCAATATATATATTTCAAGTTTTTATGAAATCTTCATATTTATATTTTATTAAAAAAATAAAAACATTGTCGTTTTTTTAAAAACCACATAAAACCATATTACAATATCAACTGAGACAAAAGAAAAACAATACATTAAAATCGAGATATATCTCACTGTATTTTGCAAGTACCCTTCTAATAAATCATTAATAATATAGTATATTAATTGATATAAATCAGATGGTAAGAAAGTAATGATATTATATATTCAATTTATTATTATTATTATTATTATTATTATTATTATTAT